ATGCTCCAGGTTTTAAACTAGGACATTCACAAAACGTGATGCTCGATTTGAATATAGTAGGTCCCATCAGTAAGCTAATTTAAATATCGATATTCTCTAATTTAATAAAAATAAAAAGCTGTGGAATGTTTTAGACCTGTAACAAAACCAAATCCATTCACAATTCCAGTGCCCATCATTTGGTTCTCTTTGGTTCCAAATGAACACAGGCATTGCATAATCCGGCAGGCAAGAGCCTGTGACAGCAGGATGATTTATGCTCCTAGTCAGAGCAATAGGAGAGAGAGAAGGAGACAGAAAGATCCACTGTGTTGGGGACAGCTTGAGAGAGAGTGAGGTGGAGGTGAGACAGATGCTCTCAGTAGGCCTCTGTTAGCAGCCAGACTCCAGTAAGCCTCCAATGATTCTTCTCAACTATGTATCTAGGTAAGAAAGCCGCAGGTACAGAGACATTAAAAATGTACACATATAAATATACAAAAGAAGGATTCAATTTTGAAGGGATGCTCTAAGAAATTGTTCACCTCTAAATTAAGCAGGTTACCTCTAAATTAAGCAGGTTAGTTGATTTAGATCATTCAATTCAATTTAGTCATTCAATTAGAAAAATAAATATGGTTAGTAACCCATGTGTCCTGTTTTTTATGGAAGCTATTGTAAGAATAGAAGAAACAAAAATAATTAAAGGACTTCAGGAGAGTGACATAAACACTATTTATATGTATAGATTACATTTGTAAATATAAATATATAATACTGTATATGTATATATTTCAAATATCCTTTACAGTACCTTATCGATTTATACAGTATCTTTACTGAAAAAAATGTAAATACAAAAACAAAAGAAGAAAAAAACTGTAAAATGAGGTTGCTGAACCTAGAGCTGATGCTCATTCATTGGCCAGTGACTTTTTTATTGGCTGATGTAATTGTAAGATCTTAGCAAAGACACATTCTGCAGTATGGCTGTGTGCTCTCATTTGTGAGACTTGTGAGTTTGTAACTTCAAGAGGGGGAAATTCACTGCTGTCTCTCTCCAGAGAACTAGGTCTAACTTTAGAGAGCACTGCTGTCTAAATCCAAATTTCACAATTTCATTAGACAACACCATTTTAGAGAGCCTCTATAACTGGGCTGGTTTGATTGTTCAGGAATTGTGTCACTTGTTCACAAAACAGCCCAACACCAGCCCAATGACTCCTTCCTGTCACTTCTCTTGTCAGCAGAACTCTGGAATAGAGACATACTGAACAGTGATTATAAAAAATATTGAAGGAAGGTGAGCAATTTTGAAAAAGACTATTACTATATGCCCACAATTTACATATACATATATAAATTTTCTGTATCATAATTTGTACTTGGATAAGCATGTTTGCTAAGTAAATAAATTAGAATTATATGCAATAATAATATTCATGGACACAGTTTTAGTGAATTGAAAGAGGGTATGAGGTTCAGCTTTGTGACAACAAGATCCAGATTATAGAAAAAGGTGAAAATAAAGCTTTTTTTGACATTGTGCACACGTTTGGTAGTTTAAAAGTAAAATCACCATTCCTTTCTGTTGGATCAAATTAATCTGTTGCTCAATTATACTATGCCAAAAAACAGAGTTAATAAATAATTATAATCATTAAGAAGCCGTATAACCACTTTGCAGAGCATTACCAAAATCCTGCTGGAGTGTTTTGTGGTGTACAATCAGTTAAGGACCGAAATTATAATTCTGGTCCTTCTGATAAATGAAAATAAACACAATGTAGGATTATGGTCCATGGAAAACTGAATATGTTTAATGGAAAATTAGAAATGATTGCCAGACATTGTCATACAAAAATCAAAGAACCAAAGAAGAAGTATAGAAAAAATAATTTTCATACTGTTGCTTACTTAGGATCCAAATGTGTCCGTTAAATGCAAAAAACAAACCTGAAATTCATAAGAAACTACACATTTTAAATCCATTTATAGCTTGCACAGATCTTGGTCACTTTCAGGTAAATGTTAAAGAGAAGATTAAAGATCTGGATGTTAACTGAGTTTCTGGTGACAAACCGGTGTCTAAGGAGCCTGAAAACCCTGTGTCAATCATAATTCTGACAAAGAAACATTAAAAACTACACTCCTGGAGCGATATAATCTGTCTGTGCTAAAGACATGAGGGATGGTAAAAGCTCTGTATCACCATTTGTTTTCTTACAAGCACATGAAAAAAACATTACTACCTTTCTTACTCCAAAATACAGGATTAATCACATGGCCTCCATGAGATTTTATGCATTAAACCAAACTGCATTTTTTGTGATTTTTATATTTTTGGTGACACACTCTTATTCAGCAATCCGTTAATATGGCTAGCAGCACGTATTTGCTAGGATATGGTTTGGAATTATTTGTTCCTACGTTTTTTATTAATTTCCCAGTGACTGATGTCCGAACTAGAAATGAGCTGAAAAAGATATATTAGGCCTTCAAAACTTCTTTTTAACTTCTTTTCCTTTTCTGACGAAGTCTAGCTACAGGATAGCAGTCAACCAGGAAGACAAGCCTGGTTCTCTTTTTCCAGTAAGGCCCTGGCTGAATCTAATTTTACAGCTGGATAGGCTGAGGTACAAGCATGTGAAGTGACTTGCCTTCAGGGTCAGGCAGTGAACCAGTGGCTGAGTTAGCATTGGAAACCACAATTTCCTTGCTGCTTAGTGTGTACCTCTGAAACATTTGGCTCGCCGCTGGGCATAAGCTAGATTTGTGGCCATGAACCATACTACACTGGATTTCTACAGAGCACTGTGTGCTGTAAGAGAGCTCTAGTTCTTTGCCATCAAGCCAGTATTAAAGAGCAAAGGTTTTTTATGTTAGAATGGATAAATGGGCAAGCTACTTTAAAAAGGACTTAAGGCAGTTGGTTAACAGTCGAGCAGACAGTAGCTTCATTACAAGCAGTGTGTTTCTTGTGTCACTGAGAGATTTATCACAAGGCAGGAGTACGTTTTGAGCGATTCCCCCCTGTGCTCCTCAGTGTGCTGGCCTAAGATGTGGCTGGTGATATCACTCTGCATTAATTCTGTGGGATCTCTGCCGGGAAACCCCAGAGCTGTGGCAGTTAATCTGTCTTGAGCTGGGGAGGGGCTGGTGAGAGGATTCCTGTTTCATCTCTGGATTACAGAACACCTTTCCCTCTGACAGCAGGCAGAGATTTGAATTTGAGTCGGATCTACCCTTGTAAAAACCGCCAACCCCAACCACAACCAAGCCCTTTTATATTGATTTTTCAAAATGACGATCCATATTAATATTCTTGATGAAGTTCCAATCAATCAGCAATTAAAACTTTCTGACAAATCTGATTGAGATCAGACAATTTTTACATCTCATTGTTTCATTCTTAATTATATCATCTTATTTTTTCAAAGGTCAGGAATTCTTTTAAAATGGCCTCAGTATTACAGTTCATGGGAAAACAACAACAAGAATAACAAAGCAATAACTATAAAAGAAGGTGAAGTGGCAAGTGACAAGACTTTTGTAATGAATATGTGAGTACATGTTTCTTATATGTCTCTTCGAAAAATAGGGAAACTGATGAATCAATTTACCAAATGACCCTTATTCATATGTAGAGCAGGACCCCTATATCAAATTTGAACACTTTACAACAAATGGCAGTGCCATTTTGATATATGAGTGTATGGGTGGCTAGAAGCAAGAACAAAAGCCTACAATTTGTCTGGGAGCTCATGGGAAAAACCGCCATATCAAAAACCACAGAACATCCTTCAGACCTTTCTCAAGCATGCCCCAGTCTTATCAATTACATACCTACCACAGTAATCTGGTGCATAGGCAAATGTGGCACTCTTAAAATAGCTATTTATGAATTGTTATTCAGGAAAACCTTTTATAAAAATCAAATATCAAACATGTATAGCTTTTACAAACATACAAGTGTAAGCCATTATTGTCAAAAATATGGTATATTGGTTTTACAGTCCAAAAACAATTTTAGTGCACAATATTTTTTTATAAGTAAGAGCTAAACTAGATATTTAAAAAATAGGAACACAGAATATTTTGCTTACATTGCATATCACCACATGTATATATACAGTTGTTATAGCTACTATAAATGATTCAATAAACTACAATACTTGCAGATGTACAGTAACTGTAAAAATGTCAGTTTTTAAAACTGATGCTGCAATTGACATAGTGTTTTATACATTCATATTTATTACTGTTTTTATCTTGTTGTGCATCTTTTAAAAAATATTTCAACTAGTTTCCACAAAAATGTAATAGCTTAAGTGTACAGATTCTAAACGTAGAATGCATTTGTTTATGTCAACTTTGGTATTTTAGTGTTTTGGTGTGACCAAGAAAATGTGCTTGCCTGAGGGTGCGTTTGTTCATTACTGTAAAACACTTGTACTGATACAGAAAAGGAAAAGTAAAACTTAAACAAACTGTACTGCTTGGAAGAACAATATTTTTGTAGTTTTTTTCCCATAGTCAAATGTCTGATGAGTACAGTTAATTTATAATTAAATATGTATAGAGTCTACATCATCCATTGCCCTTATGGAAAATATTAAAAAATATTCACCTAAGAAATAAAAAAGAACACTTGATATTTTCTGTAGGAAACTTGATCTAATTTTAGAACATGGTCATGGGTCTTACTGTACGTTGGAAGTGGACAATAAAATCTACAAATAAGAAATACTACAGTTACAATAAGTACTGGATTACACATCAAAGCATGTTCCGAAAACCATGCTGTTCACTTTTCATTGTTCACAATGTGATCAATATTTGCACATATTTTCAAGCTGTCAGCATGCACATGGTACTGATGTGTGTCCTCAAGGTTGCTGTTTGTCTGATAAAAAATGTGAAGGTCCCCAGTGTTTCTCCAACAAGGTAGTTTGTGGTGGGCTGGGTGTAACTCATAGAGGTTATTAAATAATATCAATTCTTAATAAAATAATTCTTACCTTCCCTCATCATTCCCACTGTTAGACACTTCATGAAGCGACAGGCCTGACAAGACTTACGTCTGCGCTTTGTGATTTCACATTCATTGGTTGCAGGGCAGCTGTACTCAATGTTTCCTGTGGCAAGGCATGTAGGGAGAAGAAAAACAAAGTGTTTAATAGATGTCAAGGAATGCTGACCAGCTCATTTAAAATCTTCTAAACTAACAACACACAGAAATAACATAAAATGAATATCAGTTTGAACTATAATAAACTATACATATATCTGAAAATGTGTTTACATTAAATGGATGTGTCATGATCTGCCACCAACAAGCATATCAAATTCACATTTGTTTTGAGTACATCTATTCTTTTTAGATATTTAATTTTGAATTACTTTGACAAGTCCATGACTAAACTTGTAAACTCCAAGCTCTCAACACAAGAACATACTGGAAAGTCAAATATGTATCTTTTTCCTGTAGATATTTAGTTAAACTATGGGTTTGCTTATAAAACAAACTACAATCCTGTTCAAAATATTATTAAATATGAGATAATCGTGTTGAATTTAGTAGAGAAACAAAACATACAGGCAATGTGTAATAATAAAAGATGTAGACTCTAGGAAGTAGAACTTTGTGATCACCAAGAAAATCCCATGGAACAAATATAACAAACAAAACTGGATGCTTGACTTTCCAGTTTGATTGTTCCTTGAAGAAGTGACCATTTAGTTGAACTTCCAAGGAATAAACTGAACATTGGGTTTGTTATTTAAAAATTCTTACGTGCCTTTCCATGTTGTCCAGTATGGCCATATCCTTTACTGCCAATGTTTATTATTTTTTCATTTACTGAATATTAATCACCAGAGGAAAATTCCACTAATAATCAGGTTACTAATAACCTGAAGAACTTTGCTAGGAATAAAAAACAACATCTAGTCACCCAAAATGTGATTTAGTGTCAACATTAAACACATTTATAAAATTCTAAATATTTATACCAAAAGATTCTATACTAAATTGGATTTGAAAGACAAGTTAGTAAATCTCGGATAATGGTTTTCTCACTAGAAAACTAGAAAATAAATAATGCTGAAAGAGTGTTAAAAGCTTCTGTCATCATACTGTAAAGTACAGTTACATTTATAGATATGATGTTCACAATTCTGTTATCAACCCTTTTCAATCGCAGAGCAACGTGTTGCATAAAAAGCTTCTTAAGATGGCACAGTGTTGAATATTCAGGCAACCCTTTTAAGAAAAGATTTAAGGAGACTATTGTAAGAAAAAAAGATATGTAAGTTCTTAGTTCTACAGTTACATTACATGTTAAGAAGAAATTAAATTGAGAAATGATGATAACACTTTTATATTTGTTCTCTACTACAAAGACATTATCCTTAGGGGGAAAACACAAGCTGAAATTGCACTTTGCCATGCTGTGTACAGGAAAAAACAAAGTTCACCCCACATTAGAGCCTCTTAGGTCGATGTATGTGCATTAGTATCTTGATGTAAATGTCTTTTTTGTTTATAGTTCTCAAGAGAAATAGAGGGGGGAAGGTAAGGGGGGAGGAAGTCAATGCTCAAGGCGCATAAATTGTCTTTGGAAAGGAGATGGGGTGTAATTGTAACATTGATATTTCATGTTTGCAGCTCTCCTGGTTTGTAAGAGGCTCTCTGAACAGCACGCAGGCTCATGCAATTAACACTGGGCCCGTCTGGGACCTTGATGCTGATGAAATATTTCAGAGTTAATCAGACTTTGTAAACACTGATTTATATTGACTTCTCTTCTGTGAACTGATGTTTCCTCATTAAAAAGCAGATTAGCAAGAATGCTTGGAGACTAAATGCTCAAGACCGCTAATTCAACAAGGAAACAGTATTTAAACTATGCATGTCCATTAAATAGGGTCCAATATTCATTAACAAGGTAATCTTAAGAAGCCATTAAATTCTCAATATTGCGAAGGATCCAATGTCTGTGTGGTCAAAAAATACATTTTAAAGTACTACATAACATGCTGAGAATTTGCAAGGAGTTAAATTATGATGAAGACAAAAAAGTGTCCCTTTTTAGTGTAATTGAGAAAGAACACAGTCAGAAATGGAGACATACTTTGCTGTGTTAACAGATAAATTTAACACATGTGAAATTACAATTACATATGGAATTATTGTAAACAGCATTGTAAATTTTAAATGTATACAATAATTAAAAATATCCAGCACTGCTCATGTATTGCTTTAAAAAAATATAAATAACTGTTAATTTTTAATCAATTTTAACAATGTTTTATAACTGTACAAACATTATGCATATTTAAATATATTTTAACACCACTCTGTATGTTAAATTAATTTGCTGCAAACTCTTAAGCAGCACTTGCTAGGATGAATGTGAGTTCAAGTGCATTTAATAGTATCATTAATATATAAGTAAATTTTAACTATATACTTTATAAGTCAACAACATATAGGAATGTTCATATTTGTCTACACCTGTATGTACACTATATGAGCAGTTGGATCAACTTTCATTTTGATAAATGTAATTTGATTACCTTATGATACATGACATCATCACATCAGATGAGGTCTAATAAATGTATAATATAAGGAATGAGTTTGCACCAGAGCATTTGTGTACATAAAGAGTGCAATGTGCCTTAAGAACAAATTCTACTTACAATCCATTCTTATGGAAGGCTAATGATGAGCTTTTTTTAACTTGTGGACACAAATGACTAAATAAGGTAATGATAGGTTCAGGTGATGTGCAGTGTCAGGTGTCACTGGAAGCATGCCACAGCTGCTGCCTGCCAAACCCTCAAACACAGCGCTTTGGATACGAAATCTCCAGCTTTGTGGTCTCCTATATACATCCGGAATTTTTGAGAAGAGACAGTGCTGCAAATGTCACAGATGAGGAAAGTCTCTGGGTACTTTTGAGAGACTACCTTGAGCCACTCACACGGTGCTGTCTTTCTTCTGTAAGTTGGTGATCAGTAGTGTCATTAAGATTGATATAAACTCAGCTTTATCTTTTATTCCCTCTAAATGTTAAGTTTGGCTGCTAAATTGGGAAATGGATAAATTGTATAGAGTATAACATGTAATGTTATTTTTTTCATAGGGATATGCAGTGACAAGGACGCCCTTTTATACCGGAGTATTCAGAGAACACAGAGGTTAATATTTTGTGATATGTAAGATAGCAACTCACTTACATAGCATGTGAATGACATCAGAAGTCCTGTTGTGCAGAATGCCTGCCCATTCCTGGCAAAGAATCTGTATGAGGGAATCCCTGAAAATGGCTTTGCTTTGACAGTATCACAAAGATAGGTTAAGAAATATCCAACGTACTGAAGTGGGCTCGTATCTGATGAGTGACCAGTCGTTGACAGATTTGTGTATACATATAAACTAAAGATCAGTAGCTTTAAAGCAACATGGACTAGCAATTTTAGGAAGAAGAATGTTAATCCATCCTCTTCATTTGTGATCCCTAGCTAACGTATTCTCATTCCTTTTAATAATACATTGATGATGGCAGATGAAACAACTGTTTTGTTTTTTCATGAGTGTTCTCCTTGTTTTAAGAGAGATGAACAACCAATGAGAGTATCTGTTGTCTGGCAACTCAAGGGTGTCTGCAAATTCATCTGGTTTATCTGAAGAGATGTACATTTCACATGGAGTTCTTAATTATATGTTTGTATATTAGATGTGTGCATGTTTTCCCATGGACTTTTTTTCCTCTGATAGTAGGGAGGAACTAAAATGGCTTCAAAACCAGAGAATCAAACCCAACCTTGAATCGTCCGCTTGAAGAAGGCCTTGCAAGCTTCACAAGACGCTACGCCATAGTGGTAGCCTGATGCGATGTCTCCGCATACCAGGCACAGCCTCTTGGGCATGGAGTTCAGCATGTACTCGCACTTGATCTGGGAGTCTTCTGTGATGGTGCTTGAGCAGTCCTCGTAGCGTTTGGAGGCAGCACTGTTGGGACCCAGCCCGCCTGTGGGACCATACAGTGTTGGCGAGTCCAGACCGTTCTGGTGCCCGTTCATAGTGGAGCTGTAGCTACCACTGGCATCAGAGGAGCCACCGGGGCTGTGGTGGTTGATGCTGTCTGTGAGGGAGGCAGGGCTGGAGGGTTCCGTCTTGATGTATGAGGGGCAACTCGAGTCAATATGCCGGTCCTTGCTTGACATTCTGCAGAGGAGCCTGCCAGAGGGAGAGGGAGAGGGAGAGGGAGAACAAAATAAGCAAAAGCACTAATAATTCCAGAAAAGATGTCTGCTCTTCTTGTTGGTATTCTAGACAGTGTCCACATTTCACCCACAACATAATGCCAAATTCCTATTACTTTCAGTATTCTGCTCTAATAACCCATGTGTACTGGACACTCATACAGAAACTTTATACAGAAAGGGGTTCCATCTTCATACAGAAACACTCATACAGGAACACTCATGCAGAAACAACATTTTTTTTAAAAAAGCCGGAACTTACCAGTTATAAAATATTAAGGAAGTACAATAAAATATATTGCAACAGCTTCTTTTAACAAAAGCTTAAATGTTATTGTCTTATTTTTCCACATTCATATTTTCAGAGTTAATGTTTTTAACATTTCTTTGCTAATAACAATATCAGAATACATGAAATCACTCAGTATTTAAAACAGAAGATGAAACTCTAATAAAAAACAGTTTTCAATGAAAATGTGTAGTGCATGCTTTGACTAATTTTGGGATGAAGTTTGAGAAAATTATGCAATGGGCAGTTGGATAGGATTTGCATGTTGCCTCTCAAGATTTGTTTTTGGTCTTTTCAATCATTTGACTAAGATCAGCTTGGCAATACAGCCTTTCCTCTTTGTGGGCTCTATCACTGATGCAGCACCATGCAGTTTGGATCAGACTGCTATACAAACCACACAGAATGTAGATTGCAAAAAAGCAAATTATATTGTTTTCTGCAATGCACTAACGGAACAGCCAAATGTTTAAACAGCAGGTAATTCAATTATATTATGATCATGAAGATTTAAGTTTTTTGTATCACTAAATAAGTATTTTTATTTATTCAAGTCTGATTAGCAAAGCACCAAAATAAAAACACAAAGTATTACCCTGTGAAAAAAACCTGTAACATTCATATAGACAAGTAAGAAAATAAGTTATCTTCAGGGCTGCTGGAAAACGAAAGGAAGCATGTAAGCAAAAAAAAAAAGCCAAAGGTACCAATCATCATTCATTCACTAGTCAATATCGACTTGTTCAACATGAAAGTAATCAGCATTAGGGCACAGTGGAGCTTTATCAAGTGTCTCGACAGCCAGTCAACAAAAACTTCGGAAGCACCAACACAAATCAGAGAGTTGCACATGTCTGACAAAGGAAGACCTTTTTATTTCACTGGGGAGTATTTAAAGAGAGCCCCCACTCTCTCTGTTTAAGTATCTGTAATGAATCTCTCTTTGCCTATGTCTGTCAGACTGCTCCCTGTCCCCCACCCTCCATTTAGCTTATCCCTGGGAGCAACCAGTATTAATGAGTACTGTAATTAATAGATATCTTTCCCTTGTCTCAAAGAAGCTCTGAGGCCAAAGTGAAGGGATTAAACTTCTCCCAAGTCAACAATCCAGCAGGCCCTGTATTCGCTCACAGACACACTGTAAATTATTTAATTTAGAGGCATTTCCACATCAGCCCCCATTCTCAACCTGATCTCTTTCTGCCACCATACCTCTTTCACCAACAATAGTTAACAAAATAACTAGGTAGGATGCTGAGCAGATTTAAAATGCAAATGAAAGAGCAAATAATGATGGCAGCTCCAGAGACCACACAAAGGGCTTTTTAATTAAGGAAACCTGTCTTAAATTAGGGCTCTAAAATCCAGTTGGCTTGTAAAAAGACAAAGTCTTCTGGGGGCAATAAAAAAAATGGTTATAACTGTGCCTTTGAGTAGTAGTTTTCAGCTTTTAAAATACTAATACCTTATACCTTTTTAAAAGGAATGCACTGATTATGTGAAAAATATTAAATACCCAGTAGTTTTGTAAAAAACATACCAAAGAAAGACAAACTTAGGAGACCATCTTATCCTCAAACATTCCCCTTTAATTGAAAAACAATGTGTTTCTCATATTGTAATTACCATGTTCTCCCTGTCACACAGTTGTGACATTACTTCAATCTGCTGTAGATCACTAACATAAACAATCTAAGACAAAATAAAATGCAGGATCAGATTTTGTGACTTAGCTTTCCTTTCTGCTGTATATGCTCTGTGAAAAATAGACACATTTCAGTTGTCACCAACATAAACACATGCACAAGTACCAACTACCTATGGGTGATTAGTTGTACTGTACTAGGGTTTAAAAAAAGCAAGGTTTGAAACAAATGCTTCTGTAGATGCATGTATCCCGATTAAACAACTGCTGTGTGTAATAGTCCAAGTATAAATGTGCTGACTCCAGCCAGCTGTTTCTCATGTTTTCAGCAAGCATCAATCGATTTATGCAAAGCTCTTCTTACCCTTGGTATGATGCAATGCACTAAGTGGTACAGGGGGCTTTCAATGTACTGAATATGTCTACAATAAATGTTCTTGACTCTTTTCACATCAGCTTCAAATAAAGGTAACGACAAACAAGAGATCACAGAAAGGTCTACTTGGTTGGCTCCACAAAGAAATTATTAAGGAGGTTCATCCAAAGGAAATAAATCCTTTGCTAACATCTTCTAAAGAAAAATATCATTCACTTGAACTCTTCCACAAAATATCTACAAATCAATAAAAAAAAAAACGTTTCTCTAAATTTCTGCTTCAAAATATATGGAAAAAAGAAGCGTTTCAGTCTGAAATCGTTGTCACTCGGATTTTGTGGCAGAATGTCTTTCAGGTTTGTAAGACTTTGTTTAGTTGTTTGACAACATTATTTCCTTAGTCCTTGCAGTTCGTGATATGAGAAGATTTTTTTTAAATAGTAAGAGCCTCTGCAAATCCCAATAATGTGTTAAAATAGTACTTTAAAAAAATACTGTACCATTTTTAATAGATAAGGCAACGTTTGGTCCATTTACAATGCTACCTTTTCATTTACTCCGTTGAAGACATTATGTCTATACCTTTAGCTGAAAGTTATTAGCTCTCTCCCTCTCCCTCTTCTCTTGGTCTTTGAAATTCTATGACTCTATTAATCCCAGCCTGCAATATTCACAACTATCTATAAATTCAATTGTCAGATGGTGGGTTTTATTCTAGGCTGCACTTGAATCTAAAATTAGAGGCACTAAAATTCACATTAGCTCGAAGAGGGATGGAATTCTAAAGCCTATATTTTAGAAGAAAAGAAAGCCTTTCTGACAGAAAAGAGACTATTTAAGAGGAGATGATTTTATCTGTTTTTGGCAAGCAGAACAGGTCCTATTCCATAGTGTGCCATTAAGGCAGATTTTATTTGTATGAAATTTAGTTAGGGTTTATGAATGGAAATAATAATTGACAAGTGTATGGAGGGTGTGCCACTATTCATGCACAGGATTCACAGTACCAAAAAAACATATTCCAACAGTTTTATTCTATGAAGTGTGAATAATGTACAGCATGGATTAAAAGCTTCTCTTTTCTTTTTAACAGAATACAGAAACGTCATACTGTACTATAATATTAGAAAGTATAGTTGCCCATGTATGTATTGGTATTCTCTATTTCGAATATGTTAATTCTAGTTATTAATTTTTATGGATAAGTGTGTGATCAATAAAGATGAAAGAGGTATGAATGACAAAAAATATTTATCAAACTAGGTAAATAAGAAGAGATTAGTGAATAACCTACTTATTATATTTATGTCAGTATTGTTTTGAGGTACCAGATATGTTAGTCAATTAAATGCTTGTTATCAACAATTGAACAAGGATGTTAAGTTTGGGCATTTAATAGGGCAGGTAAAGCACCTATGTACTTTTATGTCTGTAATCACATTTTTGAGACATTATAACATACATTAATTTATTTCAGACATCCTAGTTAAGCTATATTAACTGAATAAGAGTATCTCTTAACTGGTAAAATCATATTGAACTGCTTAAAATAGTCTCCACCTTTTTACCTCCATTCTCTCTAAAATGAAAAACAAAATATCCCAATTTGAATTTATTTTTGTGTTTTAAAAACCTTTTTTGGTAATTGCATTTGAAACTGGGGGAGAAAAAATCTGTTCAATCTGTCATCAGTGCAGAAATCAAGTGCTTTCAAATCTGCTAATGCAAATTATTTCTCTCTTTGACAAAATTATGGGCTGCCCAAACCAGTAATATTTGGAAAAGTCAGAGAAAGAATATAAAGAATGTAACATTCCCTGCAATTCCCTAATAGTCCCCAACAATCCCAAAAAATGTGGGCCACTGACCTAGATATTAAGGATAATCTCCAACAATTTTATCATACGGCTAAGGGGCCTCTTAAAATAAATAATAACAAACCAATAAAATACAACAAATGCAGGACTAAAACTTTAATGATCACAATAATGGCTTAACACAGTTTGTGAATGCATCAAATTGTAGGAAAAAATTATGTATCCCACTTTGCCCCGTTGCCTGCCGAATAGGCTCCATACTGTAGAGACCCTGTACTAGAAAATGGACAATGCAAAAAAAAAAGACCCTGTGTTTCCATGTACAGGAATGAAAAGAAACACTCGTTTACTTCAAATATTCAAAAAAAAAACTAAGCACCTTTCCTTTCTTATTTTATTAAGGAATATGCCTCTAAAATGGAAAATATTTTTTTTTATTATTATTTGCTGAAATGAAGTATTGCAAGTCAACAGTGAAACAATTTTGGAAAACACCTGATACTTCAAAGTGACAGGGTTTCATTACAGTGTTTGACTGATTCAGTGCTTTGACAACTATAGAGCTAAACATGTAATCATTACATTAAGGTGCAGGAGCTGAGAGAGGAATAGTGATTTTTTATTCATTTCAGGAGAAAGTGTTTTCATATGGTTCTTAAAATGCAGAAGATAAATACTGTTAAAAAGTAGCTGAGCGAGCATCAGTTCAGAACACATGTGCTGCTGTACTGACAGCAATAACTATGATGCATTCTGATTAGACCGTGAGACCCAACCACAATCACAGTCTTCCAAATTAAAATACTTGTAAGTGATGACATCTGATGAAAAACTGACATATTGTATT